ATGCTGGGTGCGGATGGGGAGAAGGGAATGGTGGAGCAAACCCCAATTGTTCATTATTTCTCCCCAACACAAGGGGCTTTTCCTGGTGGGAACTGCAGGGCTCTGGTTAGAGCTGCACAGAGCAGGTGCCACCCAGCAAATCTGTCTGAGCCATCCTTCCCCTGCCAAAACTGCTCTGGATTCATTTAGGTCCCATTGGAACCAAGTTGTTTTCTCCTCAGTTGTTGCAGAATGTGAGGGTGTGAAATGCAGCATCACCAGTGTGTTCTGTGAGCTGCTCTGGGTTTGGTGGCTTCAGAAACGCTCTGTGAAAGGATGCAGCAGCAGATGGGCTCAGTGTTAATATTCCAGCCACAGCAGCACAAGGAATTCATGTTTGCCCAGCACTTGGAATGTCCTGAGAAGTGGTATTGGCACTATTACTAGCAGTATTAGTACTACAGCCAAAAAAGCATTTTTTAAACTTTATACTGATTATAATCAATAGATACTATTAATGCTGAAGTTGTTTCTTTGATTCTTACCCAGAGATGTAGAAAACAGATTTAAAGAAGAAGTGCCCAAGCAGCAGATCCATGGAAAGTTTAAATAGTGAAGTTTCTGTTCTTCCTTGTTTTCTTCTTCTGTCACATAGAATGTCATAACATGGTAAAAAAAATCTCATTACAAAATCAGTTCCAGCAGAAGTTACCTTTTTCCTATTTCTGTTCTTTCAAGTTTGGGATTAAGTACAGTTTTTTCCTGAACACAATTTGTGAAAATACTCTTGACTGCTCCAAGTGTTGGAATCATTGTCCTGGTATTTTAGATAGAAGCTCTTTAATATTAGTGACATTATTTTATAGAAATACATTTCAGGCAGTGTCAGTTTGAAAAGAGGGGAAAGTTTGGATACAGGGACAATGTCAGAAACATTCTATCAATTGATCTTGCAATCCTTCCTTCACATCCTTTGTGTTTTCCATCATTTTTCCCTTTGTTTGCAATTGTAGTGTGGTAACTCTTTACCATAAAGCTCAGTGCATTCCTAGTGTGCCCTGTGGAGGCTGAACTAAATAAATCCAGGTTCTGCCTGCTTTTTTGGGTAATAAGAGGTGAGAGATGAGATTTAGCTTTTATACTTGAGGATAAACATTATGGCTTTATATGTTTAGAGACAGATAAATGAGGAAACTTGCAGGTTGTTCAGAGTTTCAGATTCTCTGGTCACTGTTGAGATGTGATGAGAGTCACACAAACCCTGACCAGGTTCCCCTGGACTTGGTTTGGGCATTTCCTTGCCCTGTTCCTGTGTTTAGAGTTTCCTCACCTCCCTCAGTGTGCAAATGGAAGTTTCACTAGAGCTGAACACAGACAATGCAGTGGAGCCCCAGGATTTTACTGGGATTGATTTATTTTTTCTTATTTTTTAAATGCTCCCTCAACCCCTGACTGTCATATTTTAAATAGTTCTTACTGTTTGAAGCTCTCTTTGGGGATTTTTTCCTGTTTCAGACTGATTGTTCTCCTGAAATGGTGCTCAGTGATTTTTAGTTCTGTGTATCTCTAGTCTGATGTGGTTCTGCAGCCACTGCAACACTGGGCTGGTTTTTCCCAAGCAGGTAGGAAAAAGTAAAACGAATTTAAAAAGAAATCAGTGGGCAAAACACCCTGAAAGGCTGAAATGTTTTTCAGTGTTTAGTGGGGTTTTATCTGCTCGTAAAGATGTTTTGCTGATCTATTTATTTTTCATTATTTATCATTCCCCACACCCCCTTTCTCCATGCTCAGTTTTCCTGTTTATAAACACAGATTCTGGGCCCCCTGGTTCCCTGTGACTGTCACCAGTCTGGTTTGAGCCACGTGCTCTGCCTGCCTTATTTACATTGCTGAATCTGTTTGAACTTCTAATAAAAACACTGAATATTGCACCTGCTGATCCCACAATAAAAATCCCCCCCAGGATGCTCAGTTGCTGCAGAATTCACACCTGGGCTTGAGGAGACCCTTATGGCCATTAACTATTTTGTAGAGGGTTTTATCTTCTGTCTTTTATCCTTTTATCTTTCTCTTTGTTGCACTGGGTCTGACAGCACACACAGGCTGTGATCTGTGTGCTCAAAACCAGGGTAGGCAGGAAATTGCCAGGTGCCTGAGAAAGGGAAGTAAAGATCTCATAGGAGGAGGAAATGTTTAGATTGTGCAATGCTTTTGTCTAATGAGATAATTAAAATAATGCATTTTTTACTTGGCAGTCATCATCAGGTGAATATCTGTGCTTGCTGAGTTTCTTCATTTCTAATTAATGTTTTATCTGGTTTGTTTTACATTACAGATGCTGAAATCTTCATCCAAGGAGAAATATCCCCTGTTTACTTTTGTCAAGGGTCATTCTAGAGACTATGACTTTGCTTCCAGTCCACTCCATGAAGAAAATGACCTTTTCTCTGAGGATGAGAAGAAAAGGCTGAAGAGATTTAGCACAGAGGAGTTTGTCTTGCTTTAAGGACATTTTACACAGGAGCATCGGCAGCTGTCCAGGAGAACACTTGCCTTTTAACTCTAAAATGTACCTGGATTCCTTCCCCAGAAAGGCAAGCCTGTACTGAAATTGGTCTATTTTCATAAAGATGATAATGTTTTATATGTTAAAAGTCTTTAAGATGTCAGTTACTAATGTATGTACTAATTATTTTTTGCTGACTGCTGGCTGGAGGAGTGTCTGCAGTTGTGGTAGTGAAGGAGATGCTTTGCTGTGCCTGGCCTGTCCCCAGATGCCAGCTGTGCCCTCCTGTGCCACTGCAGGCACTGCTGGGGCTGCCGTGCCAGGGATGCTCCTGCAGGGCTGTTGCTGCTGCAGCACAGCTGGAGCTGTCCCTGTGGGAAGGGGGCAGTGCCAGCTGTGCTGCCAGCCTGGCACCGTGCAGGGCACTCCTGCTGCAGGGTCAGGAGTCAGTGGCACTGACAGCCCTGCCATCACTGTATGGGCTGAACTGGGAGTTAAGATACTAATTAGCACTATGACTTTCTAATGGTTTCTCATTAAGCTTGCTTTGGAGCCTTAATATGAGGAGTGAAGATAAAGTATTACCTTTCCCCACAATTTTTAAAGGTTATACTATTAATATTAACTGCAGCCAATCAAAGCAGCTGGAGACAATTATTAGAAGAGAGCAGTGTTTGTTTCCTGTTTCAGCTACCATAATGGTGAGGCCTCTCCTGCCAGAGCAGCTTTTAAATCAAAGCAGAGGGGGGTGGATGTGGAAGATTCTGGGCTGTGATGATTTTTTGTTTTGATACGTGTTGTTACTGTACAAGTGATTGCTTGGTGGTGTTTGTTCTCAGATTGCAAACAAATGTACAGAAATAGTTTCATGTTTTAACAAAGTAAATACAATATTTAAAAAACCATATTAACGCTGGTTGGGAAATAAAAGAGGTATGAAAACGTGAAGTGCATGTGCCTTTTATATTAATATTAGATCCTCTAACAGTCAATATAATCCTGCATCTAAACCAATATTGTAAGGGGTGAATACTCTGTTTATTTGCAATAAAGGCAGATTTTATTGTTGTGTTGTAAACCAAATGTTACCTGGTCTAAGCGCTGCTCAGGCACAGAGGCACAAGTGTTGCTGATCCAAATAATAAGCATCATGTTTGTTCATTAAAGCACCTTTTACTTTTATGGGCAAGAAGTGACTAATGGATAAATTTCAGGCAGAACTAGACCAGTCTGTGTCAGGGCTGGAGAGTGCATTTGCATGTGCTAATTAATATTCAAAAAAGATAAAATATTCCTTTGTTTTCAAGGGAAAACACCCCAGACATTATTTGTCTAAATCAGTAACCTCTGCCCTGCTAATATTTGGCATAATGTGACTTTTTACTAACAGGTATGTGAGCATGTTTGCCTTGAGCTTCATATTTTTCATTATTAGCCCAGAAGAGGGAGTAAACAACATATTTATGGAATTTAGATGTCAAAATGAGGAGAGCTGTGGATGTCAGAGCTAGAAGAGAGAAGATTGCTGCTGAGTGGAGCACAAGGAGCTGCAGCTTTAGCAAAGATCAGGCAAAGCCTCAGGGTGGTTCCTTTGGGTGGCACCAAGTTGGGATGGATTTTCCTTCTTCCACAACTCCACCACCTGAATTCAGAAAATCCCACGTGCACAGACCCCTCAGCCTGTTGTGTCTGCAGGAAGGAGCTGCTCTTCCAAAGGCCTTTGGTGCAGAATTCTTGCCATGGAAATGCTCACAAGGAATTGCAAGAGCTGTGGCACAGAAATGTTAAAAAGGAAAATGTAGGTCTGTCATTCCAACAGCAAACTTCCCTAGAAGGATGGAAGTTTCTCTTCTCTCAGTCTTTTTCCAACTGGATAAAAAATGTCGTGGCTGAAACATCTTTGAACTTATTAAATAGTGAAAGTTTTTCCCTTTCTAACTGAGGGAAAGAAAATTAGCAGTGCTAGAACAGCACCTGGGTTGGGGTCCTTTAATTTGTCGTAAATCCTTTAGTTCACCCCAGTGGGGTTTTCTTTAAAGCCTGCTACAAATAATTGTTAAAAATTCATGGCTGTTTTCATCATGGTTTTTGTCCAAGGCTGAAGCACAGACAAGCCCACAGAATGCCCTGGTGCACTTGTGTACGGGGGTGACACAAGTTAAATTACCAGGTTAGTAGAAATTAATGGTTTTGGGTAACTACAGGGGACTTTAATTGGAAACTATGTTAATCGTGTAGTAATTCTCTTTACCTCGTCTGCATTAGCTGCTGCAAACCAGGCAATTAATTTGTGTCATCAGTGTTGCTGCTGCTGTTTCAAACACAAACCTGAGGAGCATCAGTTACTCCCAGAGCCAGCCCAGGCTCTGAGGCCTCCCCACATCTCCCACCCATTCCAGCCCAAACAGGAGCCCTGCAGCCTCACAGCTTTGTCCCCTCCCAGCCTTTCCTCTCCCTCCCTTCTGCCATTTCCTTTCTCCTCACAAGGAACCTTTCTCTCTGTGTTTGTAATATCTGACATTGGCTTGGCACAGGCTCTCAGTGGAGACTCTGCCTTCTCTTTCCAGCCCTGTTTTCCAAACCTTGGCAGTGACCAGAGCCCATCACACCCCAGAGCTCTGCTGGAGGTGCTGGTGCTGCCCTGGGAGCTCAGGAAATTTCTCTCCTCCATGAGAAACCCCCCAGCCATCACCTCCCTTTCCTCTGCAGCCTCTCCCATCTCCAGCCAACCTTTAAAAACACCCCCCAGGCACTCAGGAAAGGCCACAGCTGATTTCTGAGAAGCTTCCAGAAGCCCAGGGCACTGCTCTGACTCCATGGAGCACAAGCCCTCAGGGCTGGCTCATAGGAAGGGTCACACTGGAAGGGTTTGCCCCATGTTTACTCCTGAAATGGGAGTTTCTAGAGTGGTTCTTTAGGAAAGGGAATTATTTACTGATGGTGGTAGAGAGAGGTGATCTCAGAGGGAAAGAGAGCCTGGAGAATTGCAGCCCAGCTTCCAGAAGGCCTGGAAATGGGAATATACTGAAAACAGCACTGAGTTTGTTCCATAGAATGCCAGAATCCCATTCTGGTCTGGGCTGGGAGGGACCTTAAAGCCCATCCAGTGCCACCCTGCCATGGGCAGGGACACCTCCCACCGTCCCAGGCTGCTCCAAGTCCCATCCAATATCTTTAAAGATTTCTTTTCCCTCTCACCTGTCCCCCACACTTCAGCAGAGCTGGAAAAGTGGGGCCAGCCTGTGGCCCCAGTAACAAACAAGACAGTTGTTACTGTCTTTTGTGCTTTTTTTTTCTTTTTTGGCTTTTGCACCCCTCCAAACCCAGAAGCCTTGTCAGTGTGAAGCAGGTGAGCAGTTCTGTTGTGCCCAGTGGAGGCAGGGCAGGCATCTCCTGCTCCCTGCTAATTCCAGCAGGAAAATGGATTTGCCCCAGAGACCTGATTTATTCCCAGCCTTATTGACAATCTCTTAAAGGGGATGATGGAGTGAAAAGCAGCCATCAGTGAGTTATGAAAGGTCAATAATGCCACAAAGGAACACAAACAGCAGGTCTGAAATCCAGCCCTCCCCACCTGCTGTTTCCACAACCATTTCATCCAAGGTCATTGGGCTTTTCCAGGGAGGCCAGAGCAGCAGGAGCCTCCAAGAGGAGGCCACGTTACTTCATGGCCCTTTCCCACCTTGGAGCTGATTATTATGGGGTGCATTCCCCCAGCCCACAGGCAGGAACAGCATCCAGCACCATTTCAGCTCCTTACCCAAAACCCAGAGCCTCTGGCAGAATATTCCAGCAGCACAGGGACAGCCTCCCAGCAGCTTGGTTAGGTCGTGCCAGCATCACATAAAAGGATTTTTAAATGCTGCTAACTTCTTTACATTGACAAAAAGGTGCAAAGAGGAATTTGGTGGTGTCAGGATCCAGCCCTGGGCACTCGTGGTTTGACCCTGAGGTTTGGTGTGTGCACAAGATGCCTCTGCTGCCTAATTGGATGAGCTGAGCTCCATAAACACTTCCCTTCCCTGTTTGTAAGCAGTCCACGGGCAGCTGTAATTGTCTGAATCCACAGTGTGAATAGTAAAAAGAGCTTTACTTAATGACTGCAGCAGCCCTGCTCGAGTGAGAGCTCTCTGGTATTTATTCACACCAGAATTCACGAGGCTTTTGTTTGCCATGAACACTCCTGCAAATAAAAACTTGCTCACTCTAATGTTTATGAATAAATGTGCTCGTAAATGCCATCAAAGCAAATCAGCAGGGTTTTATTTATGCAAGGAGATGCACAAATAAATGTTTGCTGTTTTCACCCAGCTCTGGTGGGTGTTTAGGCGTGTGTAAAGCCAAGGCTTTGTGAGCTCTGCTCAGCACTCAGACATTATTCCTGCTCTCCACCTCCTCCTTCCCTACACTCTGATCCTGCCTGTGAATCCCTGTGCCCCAAGGGAAGGTTGTTAAAGTCAATGTTTTAGGCATTACCCACATCCAGCAGCTTGCTGGGTCAGTGGACAAGGTCATGGAAGGGACTGGGATCCCTTTGGGCTGCCCAGGGCTGGGAGGACAGGAGGGAAAGGGCTTTGTGATCACAGCTTTGTGGTGTTTGCATGGCACACAGCAGATACCCCCAAACCTGCTTTTTTTGGCATCTGCTGGCTTCTGGAGCAGGGTGGGGGTTCTGTCTCACACAGAAGTGTGGGAGGTTATTGCCATCCTGTCTCAATCAGTGCCCTAATTAAATCTAGGAGAGGATTTTCTTTCTAAAATGTAAATGTCAAGCCTTGTTAAGGAAAATTAAAATGCACTGAAATGAATGTGGTAGGAGCTGTGGAGGTGCTTAAGTAGAGTATCTGTATTTATTAGAAAGGGAACTAAAAAGGAAGTATTTTTGGAGCACAATCCTTAAACTGGGCCATAAGGATTTTATGCAAATTTCCCTTCCAAATCTGCAGTTAGGGACTGGTTCCAGGGGAGAATTCTATGTCCCAGCCTCTAAAAGCTGTGAAGGAATATCATCTGAGACTCACCTCTTTCCAGGATGTATCTGTGCCTATCCCTCCTCTTACCAGGATCACTTGGGATTCTGTGCTGGCCACGCTTCCTGCGAGTTGGAGTGGAAAATTCAGGTAATTCCTTCCATTCCCTGCTCCCCTGAGTCCAGCAGAGCACAACAGCCCAGAATTTAAACCTTCATTCAGCAATGGGATCACCCCCATTTACAA